GGATGTTATCTTGTCATATATTTTATCGGATTTTTCTTTAATGTTTATCGTGTCACTATCATCTTCAGATGAAGGAATTTCAGTGGATTCGGATTTAGGTTTTTCAGATAGATGTTTCTCTGTGGATGGAGATATTAATTTATCATCTACTTTCTTATCGGAAATGACGGTTACATCCTGAATCGTTTTTTCAGAATCGATTTCGGATTTGGGAATATCTACAATGAATTGTTTAGAATCGATTATTGTTTCTTTTATGTTTTCAACATGTGATTCGGTTATAGTTTCATCAAATGTACCTATCGTTATTGTTTTAGTGGTTATTATTTGGTCAGTTAAACTATCTTTTTTGTCGGATTCAGTAGAACCAACTTTATCTGTGGGTTTCTCTAGTTTAATGTCTTTCTCTACTAATTCAATCTTTTTTAATTTATCATCCATTGTTACTTTGCCCTCCCCTTCGGTTTTAGTTACATGTTTTATATCTTTTTCCGGGGATTTTGTGGTTGGTACGATATCGGTGGTCTTATCTTTTATTTCGGATTTAATATCTGATTTGTCGGATGTTATCTTGTCATATATTTTATCGGATTTTGCTTTAACGTTTATGGTTTCACTTTCATCTTCAGATGAAGGAATTTCAGTGGATTCGGATTTAGGTTTTTCAGATAGATGTTTCTCTGTGGTTGGAGATATAAATTTATTATCTACTTTCTTATCGGAAATGATGGTTACATCCTTAATCGTCTTTTCAGAATCACTTTCGAATTCGGGAATATCTACAATGGATTGTTTAGAATCAATTATTGTTTCTTTTATTTTTTCTTCTAATGATTCGGTTATAGTTTCATCGAATGTACCTATCGTTGTTGTTTTAGTGGTTATTATTTGGTCAGTTAAACTATCTTTTTTATCTGATATTGTAGAACCAACTTTATCTGTGGGTTTCTCTAGTTTAATGTCTTTCTCTACTAATTCAATCTTTTTTAATTTATCATCCATTGTGACTTTGCCCTCCCCTTCGGTTTTAGTTACATGTTTTATATCTTTTTCCGGTGATTTTGTGGTTGGTACGTTATCGGTGGTCTTATCTTTTATTTCGGATTTAATATCTGATTTGTCGGATGTTATCTTGTCATATATTTTATCGGATTTTTCTTTAATGTTTATCGTGTCACTATCATCTTCAGATGAAGGAATTTCAGTGGATTCGGATTTAGGTTTTTCAGATAGATGTTTCTCTGTGGATGGAGATATTAATTTATCATCTACTTTCTTATCGGAAATGACGGTTACATCCTGAATCGTTTTTTCAGAATCGATTTCGGATTTGGGAATATCTACAATGAATTGTTTAGAATCGATTATTGTTTCTTTTATGTTTTCAACATGTGATTCGGTTATAGTTTCATCAAATGTACCTATCGTTATTGTTTTAGTGGTTATTATTTGGTCAGTTAAACTATCTTTTTTGTCGGATTCAGTAGAACCAACTTTATCTGTGGGTTTCTCTAGTTTAATGTCTTTCTCTACTAATTCAATCTTTTTTAATTTATCATCCATTGTTACTTTGCCCTCCCCTTCGGTTTTAGTTACATGTTTTATATCTTTTTCCGGGGATTTTGTGGTTGGTACGATATCGGTGGTCTTATCTTTTATTTCGGATTTAATATCTGATTTGTCGGATGTTATCTTGTCATATATTTTATCGGATTTTGCTTTAACGTTTATGGTTTCACTTTCATCTTCAGATGAAGGAATTTCAGTGGATTCGGATTTAGGTTTTTCAGATAGATGTTTCTCTGTGGTTGGAGATATAAATTTATTATCTACTTTCTTATCGGAAATGATGGTTACATCCTTAATCGTCTTTTCAGAATCACTTTCGAATTCGGGAATATCTACAATGGATTGTTTAGAATCAATTATTGTTTCTTTTATTTTTTCTTCTAATGATTCGGTTATAGTTTCATCGAATGTACCTATCGTTGTTGTTTTAGTGGTTATTATTTGGTCAGTTAAACTATCTTTTTTATCGGATATTGTAGAACCAACTTTATCTGTGGGTTTCTCTAGTTTAATGTCTTTCTCTACTAATTCAATCTTTTTTAATTTATCATCCATTGTGACTTTGCCCTCCCCTTCGGTTTTAGTTACATGTTTTATATCTTTTTCCGGTGATTTTGTGGTTGGTACGTTATCGGTGGTCTTATCTTTTATTTCGGATTTAATATCTGATTTGTCGGATGTTATCTTGTCATATATTTTATCGGATTTTGCTTTAACGTTTATGGTTTCACTTTCATCTTCAGATGAAGGAATTTCAGTGGATTCGGATTTAGGTTTTTCAGATAGATGTTTCTCTGTGGATGGAGATATTAATTTATCAT